TTGGGGGCAATATGCTGACTCTGTAAACCGCTTAGAGAGGGCTGAAAGCCCTATGAAGCGGTATATAAGTCTAACTGCTATTGCTATTGCTAGAAGAATAATAGTAATACAGTCTTAGGGAATTATTGACAGCAACATTTTTCAACACTTTGAAAATGAATTTCTAAGCAAGTACGTCTTTTTAAATGAAAAACTCTTACACTACAGGTTCTTATGGAATCAAAACACCCTCCAACATTCTATAGCCTTCTCAAGCTAGTTTTCTAATTTAGATTTGGATATATTAGAAGACAAAGATATAATAAGAGGAATTAGCCAAAAAAATTCCAGTACCCAATAAACTCTTGCATTCATCTATTTCAAACAACTTTCTGTAAGGAATTTATCATAAGCATTTCTTGTCTGTGTGGAGATATGTACTAATTACAACACATGGTTAACATTCCAGTGAAAACTGCATTCTAAAACATCAAAACATTAAATTATAATATGAAAGAAAGCAAGAAAATGAATCAAACTGGAGGCATGGTGGCAAATCTTGGCTTTGGTAGCATGCTGAAATGTCAGTAAAGAAATAACTAATTTGACTTTTCAGACAAGGAAGTTTCTCAGCCTATATGTTGCAAAGTTCATGGTGTTTTAGACTTGATAGACAATGAGTAGCAGTTGCAGTCGGGCAGAGAAATAAATTAGCTATGAAGTCAGCTTTCTGGCCAGTAGAATTTTTTATCATCTCTAGAAGCAAAAAACACTCTTTTATCCTTTGGAATGTCTTGTTAAGTCAATTTATGTCTATAACAATATACGATGGAACACCTGTGTGAAAAAGCAAAAGCTTAGAAAAAAAAATAAAGCAGCGCTGGCAATTCAGCTAGCTGAATTCTTCTTGACAATTTGTTACATATTTATTAGTAGTCAAGCTTATTTTCATAGATTGCTGTATTTAATTACGCATTTAAAAACATGAAATTTGCCCTTGAGTATTAAAGTATCGGGTTGAAGGTTGAGACAGCAATGACAAAAAAGTTGTGTATGTGAAGAGAAAGATTTTAATGGCCCCCAGTGTTTATCAGTACATGTATAAAAAAAGAGAGAGGGTAATTGATGGGGGTAAGGCAAGTTGCCTGGAAGGTTGTATCTGCCAAGAACTTGTCAGAACTTATATATTCTTATTATGATCTAGACTATGAGTCAGAGAAGATAAGGGGAAAAGATACATGTCAGTTTGTGATTAGAGTATTAAGAAATTAAAGTACACTCTTTTCAGATTCAAAATCAGATTCTCTTGTCATCACTACTAAAATGGAGCAACTGGTCTACTTGCATAGACCAAACTTCCCAATGTTCTTACCCCTTACCAGATAGGGTTCCCCGACAAATGTGCACTCGACTAAAGCGCGCCCGACAAAACCACGAGTTCGAAATCGCGCCGACGAATGAGCGCAGAAGCACGCCGACAACAGCGTGCCGACAGACGCACGCTCTAAACCTAACCCTAAACCTAACCCTAAACCTAACNTTAATATTCTGTATACTATATACTGTAGAAATAAATAATTGATACTGTAGAAATAAATAATTATTAAATTATTAAATTTATTATGTTCAATGACTCAAATGAAAACTCAAAGATAACATTTTCTTACAAAGTGTATGTTCCTTCATTTTCTATATTCTAATGCTCTAATGTTTCTATATTCTAAGCTTAGTATATATGATTTAATAGGTGTGGTATAACTGAGAACACTGGGATGATTTTCATGATTACAGCACAGGAACTTACGAATGCAGCTTGTTCAAAATGAACAATATTTATAGAAAATGAACAATGAATTTATAGAAAAATTCCACTAAATATTGAAAATACTGCACAGAGATCCAAGGGAATGAACTTGGCATTACTTAAAGAATGTAGACCAAAATAAGCAGAGGAATAATAACAACAGATGTTGCTGATGTCTCCTGCCAATCACAAAACCAAGAAAAAATGTTGATGATGTATTTTAGAATTTTTTAGAATTCGAACTTAGAATTACCTGACGTCCACTGAGATACACTGCCAGGGGTGATTCTTCCAGGAAATGTAGGAGCTGTCTTGCTCATTGCTTTTTCCCTCAAAAGATGAAGAAAGGTATAATGGGATCTGCTATTCTTGACTTGATCCTACCAAATAGGAGAGATTTAGTTGATGAATTGAAAATAGTAGGAACATTGGAAGAATTCTGGACATTAAGGGAAACTAAAACTAAATGTAAGCAAACATGTATCTTAGTCTTCAAGAGGTGGATTTTAATAAATTCAGAGTAATGATCAATAAGTTCAGATACTAGAGGATGCAAATGGGAAAATAAATTCATGATTGGTAAGAGTATTTAAAAATGAAATACCAAAAGTACTACTGAAAATAATTTCAATGAGGCAAAAGAGAAACTACACTAGAAGAAGCTACACAAAAACTTAATAAGGATCTGAAAATAAAAAAAAATGTATACATAGGAGGTGGAAAATCATCACAAAAAAGCATATACAGATATGCTGGTATTGTACAGATTGTATCAGGAAAGCTAAAGTTCAGAACAAGAATGAGATTAATGAAGGATTGTAAGACCATTCAGGAGCTTTTCAGTTACATTCTATATTTTAATGGAATAGTGTTTAAACTGTTCAGAGTGAAAATGGTAAAAGGTATAGCAAAGAACAAGCGTAACTACTATTTTGTCAGGAGACTGTGAAGAGTTGACTGAAGGGCAGGATTTACCTGAAAGCTGACAGAAAACAAGGCATAGAACAACTGACCCTGAATGTGTTTAAATCTCCAGAGCCTAATGGACTACATCTTAGGTGACAGAAGGAATTTCTATCCATTATCTTTGAGAAAGTGGAAAGAATCAGGTAGCTAGAGGAAGTGAGCTGTTTCCTGTCTTTTTCTAAAGTTGAAATAGAGTAATGGATACCTGGGGAAATTATAGAGCAGATGACAAAGGGAACATTTGTAAACACTCAAAACACCATTTATTAATTGCCAGAAGTATATATGGAAGTAATTACACTAATATTATTTCCCTTTTCAATTTGGTAATTTCTTTAGTTTATAAATCATGGGAATAATATGGCTACAATATAATTTGACTTTCAGCAAAGCATTTGATAAAGTATCTTGTAACATTCTATAAAGGTGGGATGAAGTCCATTGGAAGGAGCCACAGTTGGCTTGAAAGAATGCTCACTGACGAAGATTGTACAAAGCTTGCTCACTGACAGCCTTTCGTTAAACTAGGGTCAGGTATGATTGTAGTTAATTGCAAGTTGAAAAGGCAAAATCAATATAGTGGAAGTATAATTTACATTAACAGAAACAAAGTTTGACATTACCAGAAGAAACAATTCTGTTCTCTTCTGCACTGGCCAAGCTGCACTTTCAGAACCATATTCATTACTGTGCAACACATTTGAAAAAGATGCAGAAAAATTATAGAACATGAAAAGAAGATCTGCAAGGACGATCAAAGTTCTGGAATTAAGTCTTACCAGCAGAGACTGAGGGAAGTGGGCATAGTCACAACTGAGAAAAGAAAACTGAAAAGGGACTCTTTGAGTGTCTAAAAAATTGTCACATGAAAAGCCAAGATCTGTTTTTTAGCAACATAGACACAGGGCACAGACTAATGCTCTTTTTACAGTATAAGGCAGTTTCTAAAAAATTCTTAATGGTAAGTCTGACATGGAACCAATTATCAAAGGAGAGAGCTTTCCTTTGCTGGATGTTTTCAAGTGGAGACTGATTCATGAACTCAGCAGTGGGATGAAAATTAACAGCCTAAATAATCCCTTCCAACTCCAAGAGCCTGTAGTTCACAATGTCATACCTTGTTTTTACACTTACTCATGCATTAATGGTAAAATAGTCCATGTCCCTTCATGTCTGTCCATCTGATGAGTAAGCAGAACGGTAGGCATTTCCTTTTAAGAAAACACATTTCATGAACCACAGAGCAATGCACACCTTTAACAGAGTTAAAAATGGAATACTTTGTTTCATGTTTTCCATAAATTAAACATACCTATTCATAAATAACAAAATTATTTTAAACATAAGATAATTTTCGAAGGAGTAGTAATAAGTAATAAGATTAGCTATTCATAGGAATTTATTGAAAATAAATATTACATTCTGATCCACTGATATTTAGAATACTGGCATTCAATGTTCCCTCTAATTTTTTTTCAGTGTGAGCAGAAAAGTATAGTGTTCGAGTGGCACATTTTCATGTCTGAGCACCTGAATTTTTTTCACAGATGTCACCTAAGA